CGCAGCCGTCTCCACCCAGCGGCCAGCGCCCACCCACCCGCAAGCCCCTTAGCCATCCACACCATCACGGCTCTCCCCGTCTGTCCAGAGAGCCACACCCACAAGGTACCAAGCACCAGTACCTCCTGGACACGCCCATCCGTCCAACATTCATTCACCGTGCATGTATCTGCCACCTGTCCACGCATTACTCACCGTGTGACAGCTTTCCATCAAATATTTAGCAACGGTGTTGGGTGCACTGGCACATGCCTGTAGTCTCAGCTACTCAGGGAAGCTGAAGCAGGAGGATCGTAAGTTTGAGGTCAGCCTCAAACTTTGGATAACCTAGGGAGATCCTGTCTCATAAAATAAAACGGGGGTAGGAATGTAGCTCAGTGGGAGAGTGAGTTCTGTACCCAGTACTGAGAAAAACAACTATCTATCCATCTATGGCTCATGTATCTCATCCATTCCTAATCGCCAACCATCAGTCCGCTATCTATTCACTGGCCACGGGTCCTGAGTTATCCGGTAGCCTCCACTCACCTGACAACATCCGTCTACCACACACTCATCCTCCACCCTCTCTTCTAGGACTCCAGTCCCCAACCACTCATTCACCTACCATCCACCGTCCATTATCTGTCTACCACATATCTATCCACTCCTGTCCACTTCATAGTAACAGCCTCCATCCACCCATCATCTACCATAATTGACTATTCATTCCAAATCCATCTAAGTTCCAGCTGCCATCTCTCCATATCCACCCACTCTTAAAAATTACACTGAGTGCTATGCGCCAGGCAGTGTTCCAGGTGCTGAGGCAGAGCAGTGAGCGCTCCTCTGCCACATCCATCCACCGTGCAACATTCCCACTGTTACTATCCCTTCACTGTCCACTCGCCAACTGCCCACCTGTACCACAAAGCCACTTATTTACCATATACCACTCACCACCTTCCAGCTACCCACCGTCTCTTCAGCATCTACCCACTCACCTTTCTTGCATCTGTTTTCTTTTTCTTCATACCGGGGATCGAACTCAGGACCTTGCGCTTTCAAGGCAGGTGTGGTGCCACTGAACTACATCCCTGGCCCAGCATGCACCCATTTTCTAAAATGCATCCATCTACTACTTAACCTTTCATCCAGTCATTATCTAATCACCGTCTGCCTACCCAGAGTCCACCCATTCATTACCAACCCACACCCACCTTCTGTCAACACTTCCAGGTAGGTGGTAAAATCCACACCCCATTATCCATCCAGGTAGCAACTGTCCATTTCTTTGCCATCTGCTCCCCACTCGTGCACCATACAGCCACCATCCAACTTCCAAGTGACATCCACTTGCCCACCACTCATGACCCGCCCATCAATCCTGCAAATCCTGCATCCTCCACAGTTATCCTCCATCTACCCACCCATCCCCTGTGGCTGGATCCATCACAGTCGCCCACACACTGTTTGTCCACCCCCATCTACACCTCCACGATTCAGCCACCCACCAGGCACCCACCGCCTATTGCCCACAGTTCATCTGGCATCCATCAGTCTATAAGTCCAGCATCCTTCTCAATCCGTCCTCCACCCATCGACTTAGAGTGCAGTCACCGTTACTTAACCAACTGCCACCATACAGCTCTTCATCTTCCATCTGTCCACCATCTGCCATGCTTCCCAGTCTGTGCCACCACATCCTTCACCCCTCCACCCCGTGTACACTCGTTCTGCCATCGCATCTGTCACCCAATTGGTACGCTCACCCCTCGCTCACTCATCCAACCCCCCTAGTAGTTCAGCCCCCCACTATCTTCCCTATATTCACCTATTATCTTCATATTAGAGTCTTATATTTGTAATATACATAAGCGCCAGTCAGCTGTTTTCACTTCTATCTCTCCACTGCCCATTTTCAACACCATTCTTTGGCCTGTTAATTCATAACCCAAACTTCCATTCATCAATAGTTTATTACTGTTTGTGTCCATCCATCAGGACTAGTGGAGCACAGTTTCATGTCTCTGGATGATGCAGCAACCTGAGGGCAGAAGACCACCCCACTGGGCGGCCCCCACCAACAGGCTCAGCCAGGCAGACTGGACAGGGGAGGGGCGGATGCTCCTGGGGAAGAGCCGCAGTCACCATGGACACTGCCTCAACGCAGACCCTCCAAGGGGCTTCCACCTGGACTGTCGCTGCATCCTGACTCCGTGTCCTCTCTTCCGTCCCCTCGGCCTGAGCAGCTGCTGCACCTAGCACTCTGAGGAGCACAGACGGCATTGGCCCTGGGGCCTGTCTGACAGCACCCTGCATAGTGACATCCGCTAGAGAGCCCTGATACAGAATCAAGTAAACGGTAGTGCTCACTACTCTGCCAGTTCTGGACTCCTTAAAATGAATAAGACCAGATCCAAATTCATGGTCCAGTGAGCTGCAAGGAGCAAACAGCCAGCCACGTGGTGTGTGCCTGTAAGCCTAGCACTCTGGCAGGCTGAGGCAGGAGGATTGTAAGTTTGAGCCCAGCCTGGACAATTTAGGGAGCCCTTGACCCCAGGGGGCTGGAGATGTGGTCCAATGTGAAGACTCTAGGTTCAACTCCCAGTACTGAAAATAAAAATAGGTGCCAGCAGGTCGGAGAGAGGGAGCGGTCAGGGTAAAAGTGTGAATCGTGTTGAGAGCTCCGGGGTCTCCAGACATGGGCGGGCGAGCTCTACAGACAAGGCTGGGCGCGTGGGAAGGGGTTCCCACCGGGTGTGGCGAGAAGCAGGCCGAGACTGGAAGGGGTCTCCGCGCTCTCGCTGGCAGGGCGCCTGTCAGCTGAGTCCTCTGCCCGCGCACTCCTGCTCCCCGGGAAGGGCTCCCACGGCCGCGCAGTGGGCAGAGCCTGGCACCGAGGCCCAGGAGAGCCCGGGCCGGGTGTCAGCCCCTCGCCCCGCCCCTCGCCGCAGCCGCGTGCTAGCCTGGCTCGCGGCCCGGAGCCTGCTCTTGTCCCCCTCTGGCGGCCACACCAGGGCAGCACACCCCACAGAGAGCCGTGTCCCGCGCCCTGCGTGTCAGCCCACGCGCGGGGCCTCTGCGAGCAGCGGCCAGGCCCGGCCTCTGGCCCCTCCCGACTGCCTGCTGCCCGGAAGGCCTGGGGGGGACCTTCAGTCTCTTCGCTGGACGGAGCTTCCTGACGTAAAGAATCGGATTTCGGAGTTTTAGAAATACCCTGATAAGGGAATCCTACATCCCCGGGGCCAGGGCCACTGCCCGGACAAGTGGGGGCCGTGTCACTGGCTGCGGGCGACGCCCGGCCGCGTCCTCTCTGCGCCCCCTCGTGGCCGGGAAGCGCACAGCCCGGAGAGGCGACGGAAGTCGGGGCTGCCAGCCTCGAGCCCCGCCCCCTGGACAGCGCAGGATTGGGGTGAGGGACAGGGGAGAGGGCGGGTGGATGCTCCTGTCCCATCCAGCGCCGCCCCTGGTACAGTCAGGGAAACTGAGGGTCAAGGAGGCAAAGCCAGACAGCATCGTGGCCTAATGCTGCACGGGGCTGTCGTCCCAGTCACACTGATGGGGAAGTCGAGGCCTGGAGCGCCCCTTTGCCTGGCCCAGAGCTGGACCTGGGGTGGAGACAGGATCAGGGGCTGGTGGGAAACGCTGCAGCCAGGTGGCCAGGGCGGGGCAGGAGGACAGGTGACTAGGGATGATGGGGGTGGAAGCCACAGACAAAGCTGGCGTGGGAGGTCGGACACCTGCCAGGGGTAAGGGGGGGAGTTGCCCAAGGCCACCTCCACCGAGGTCCTGGGGCGGGATCGGCGCCCACCCCCACCTATCCGGTGTGTGCAGCAGTAGGTGAGTGGGGGTCTCCAGAGCCCCCAGGGCCTCTCAAGCCTGGACACCGAGCCACTAAGGGCAGCTGCTGGCCCAGAGGTGGGACAGACCCAGTGAGGGTCTGGGCTGCCTGTGGTTAGGTGTAGAGGGGAAAGGCCGTGCCCCATGCACCCAGCACGGCACAGAACCAGCCTGGCACAACTGGGATCACTGGGCCGCAGCTTTCACGGGGCAGGCGGTTGGCCTGGGTCTGGGTCACATCCTTTGACAAATCATCCCGCTTTACAGAGGAAGAAACCAAGCACAGAGGCAGAGGAAGCTGTCCAGGGTCGCAGAGTACAGTGTGAGGTGGAGCTCCATGCAAGGTCACCTGGGCCCCCTGTGAGTCACAGCTCCCTGCTGCCTCCAGGCTG